ATTACAGAAATCGTAAGGAATGTGACCATTCCTTTGAAAAAATTTCAAAACAATCTGACTCAGATAACTTTTCTATAGGAAAGAAGTGTTTCTTTGGGAATGTGTACGAAAACATTTCCATGTTTCGGCTATACCCAGGCGTCAAAAAAAAATCTAGTACCGCCCGATTCATCTAGATTACCAGATTTTTACTCGTACTGAGCGACGGAAGTGAAAATCTAGTAATCGGGCGATTGCTACATTTCATCTAGTTGCAACTATCGACCTATCGCCCGATAATCGATCGATTTAACTATTGCTAGTTGCACATGCAGACTCATCTAGTTAAAAGTCCCTTGTCCAACTAGTAATCTAGATGGCAACTAGTCATGTATCGCCCGATTACAGACGAAATGTATCTAGATTTTTCCCATAGATGATGTTTGCTTGGGTACTTCGGATCGCAGTGGAAAAATTTTCGTGTCCGTTCGGGTCGGATCGGGTCGGATCAACTCACGTTCGGGTCGGGTTCGGGTCACGTTTTGTTGACCTGTTTCGGTCTCTGGTGTGTTATACCGTTCACCGCATTCTGTCTTACCGCAAACGCTCTCAACCATAGACCTTCCCCTACCCATAAATCTTGATCTTTTAAGTTACTAAAAAGTTTTCTATCTAGAGACCAATATATATTCGTTTATACTAGTGTTATTGAGTATATTGTATCTACCGAATGATTCCACAAGTAAGGGTCGTTTTATTGTTATAAAAGTTTTGTTATACATAGCTCTACGTCTTTCTTTTTTATTTTTATAGTTATCGTGTCTTCTCTCTCATTGCATTCATTATTTTCTTTTTTGGTTACGTTCTTCTATATCTAGTTAAAAGAATTATTTATTCTATTCGGCAGACACCCCAATAACAATGAAACTCTTGCCCTCTTCCTCTGAGACATTAGCTCCCTTTTAATGTGTGTTCAATTTGCTAAATTTAACAAATAAATATAGTTTAAAAAAGATAAAAACAAACAAAGCTCTCGGAGTTTGCGAGTAAGTCTGTAACGGTCATAAATAACCCCAAAAGCTGTTTTTCTCCAGTCGAATGCCTGTAGCTTGTATTGAAAATGCCCGAGAGTCATTGGAAAGAATATCGATATTTCAACATGTGCAGATGAAATTTTACATAGATTGTAGATACTGGATATGTACAATAAGGGCTGCAGGCAGAAGAAGAAGAATCAGAAGTCCGGTCTTCAAAGTCGATTTTCGTGTTCAATGGCGCTGGAAATTCTCTTTAAAACTTGCAATTCTTAGCTCTTTTCATTGGTCTTTCTCACGCTTTTTTGTAGGAGGGAGCATCGAAATCATCGCCTTATTGAGTTTCTCTCAGTTTTGCAAGTTTGCTTTCGTGAAGAAAGCGAAATTTTTTTATTTATTTTTTCGAGAACTATTAATTTTTTTATGTTACCTTGATGCCGTTAGGAAAACTAAAGAAAGAAAAAAAATCACTTACTTAAGAGAAGCTGTTTCGGTCAGAACTTCTTCTTCACTATATTGTTCTTCTTTTCTTTAATCTGTGTTTGAAAAGTGTTTTGTTATAAAATTTCATCGAAAATATATATGAAAAAACGAACTTTCACAACATTGTGTAATGAAACTTCGGTTCTATTGTTATTGTTGTTTTAAATAAGAAGTGAAGTGGATGATGATGAGGAGAAATTGTGTTTACGGCCTGTCCACGTAACGCGTGATTCCGTCACGATTTTTGTTGTTTTGCTAGTCTCTTGACGTTCAAACAAAAGGAAACGAAGGAATTGTTTTCATCTAGTCTTGTAGAGAAAAGTGAGCTGAACAAAATGTGATATTTTCCGTTTTCGCAGAATATCGTGGTCGTCAAGTACAACAAAATTTTTACTAGCCCCAATCAAAAGTCTGCCAAAACGGGACTCGTAAAACTTTTGTTATAATTGAGAACCACGACACTCTGCGGAAACAGAAAATATTACATTTTGTTCAGCTCACTTTTCTCTACAAGACTAGATGTAAACGGTCTTTGAGTTTCCTCTTGTTCGAGCGCCACGAGATTCGTAAAACAACAAAAATCGTGACGGAATCACGAAAAGGCGACCGTTATGTGGACAGGCCGTTTACATAATTAATTAGACACGTCTATGGGTACTGCCCCACATTACGTTAAACTAAATTGACTACTGTTGGAAAAAATCCAGATATTAATCACAGAGACATTTAAAAAGTTGCAGCTAAGGAACAGGCGCGTCACTGACTTACTTTTTAGGTTAATTTTTTTGCAAAACTTAGGAATCTTTAAGCTGTATTATAGTAGTAAACGCACCAATCTACTATCCTGCACGGTTGACAAAGCTAATGAATGACCGATCTGGATTTGTGGCAAAAGAGAAGCGTGATGAGCAACTCATTGCTACCAGGGGCATCAGAGAGTTTCTGTAGGTAGAAACAGATATGAGGTTGTTTGTGTTTTACCCTAGTGTCTGAATCATCGTTCAACAGATTTTCATATATCTTTCATGTATAAACATATATCAACAACAAGCACTATCTTTTGTTTACGTTGCTTTTGACATTTTGAGGACACACTAACATTTCATCAGGCAGTATTCAGTTGTTAAAGTGACATAAGAAAGAAGTGTGGCTACTTATTTAAGCTAAGCGCGAAGCTTTTTTATTCGGTTGTGTGTCGTCTTCAAGTCCATGAAAGAACAGTTCAAACGAAAAAATAATCAAGCAACGAACAGTGAGACAGAGTAATTGCTATTTTTATTGTAATTCTCGGATGATGATTGTAGAGGATCATCTTCCTTTTTCTCATTCTCCAATCTTTCACTGACTTATTCACTGTGATGAACTTTTCCTTCCGCTAACTCTTGACCTCACATTCACCTTTCCTCAACTCATAATAATGTATTTGCTCTTTCTTGCACAGTTCATGATTTCTCGTTCCACTTTACTATTTCTCCATCTACTTCATTTTGTACATACAGAAAAATGGAGTGTTTACAATTGCTAACAAGTGTAAACAGACGAAAAGAAATTAATGTTTTTTCATTTTCTTTTTTCGATTTTTTTCCCACTGTCAAGTATGCAAGTGATGATGAATGCATCGTTATACCATCACCAAACAAACAAAAAGCTGTCAACTTTTTATTCCATTTGTTTTTCATGTGCGACAAAGTATCTGTCATCGCGTTGGGGTATCCATAAAGAATTACCTCCAGTTCAGTTTTACACACAAATTTGACAGCGCCACAGAAATGGCAGAAATTAAATTTTAATTATTCGTCTACAGCCTGTGAAGTAAGAATCTCGGAAATTTTACGCCGACACACCGCATTTTCTGATAATTAGCATTTCCCGCCGTCAAGGAAACATCCGGCAAATTTAACGCCGACACAGAAATGGTAAAAATTAAATTTCACATATTTCGTCTCTTGGTAGCAACTTCCTAGAACTTCTTAGCATTTCTCCCCATGAAGGAAACATCTGGCAAATTTGACGCCGCCACAGGAATGTAAGAAATTATATTTCACATATTTCGCTTGCTGATACCAGCTTCCTAGGATGTGTTCTTCAAATCGTTAATTCGCGAGAAAAACCGCTAATGTTTGATAATCAGCATTTCTCGCCGTGACACAAATTAAAGTTCACATATTTTCTCTACTGGCACCAACTTGATAGGATTTGTTCTTCAGTTCGTTAATTAGCGAGAAAATCGCCAGTTTTCCGTAATTAGCATTTCTCGCTGTGAAGGGAACGTGGGAAAATTTGACGCAGACACGGAAATTGGAGAAATTAATTTTCACTTATTTCGTCTGCTGGTGGTGAGTGAAGCAGACCGAAACTTTCGCGTCGACACACCGCCAGTTTTTGATAATTAGCATTTCCTGCCGTGACACAGAAATGGCAGAAATTAAATTTCACGTAATCTGTCTGCTGGCGCCAACTTCGTAGGATGTGTTTTTCAATTCGTTAATTAGCGAGAAAACCGCTGATTTTTAACAATTAGCATTTCTTGCTGTGAAAGAAGAATCTGGCAAATGAAACACCGACACAGAAATGGCAGAAATTAAATTTCACATATTTCGACTCCTGGCACCAGCTTCGTAGGATGTGTTCTTGATATTCTGATCAGCTCACTTTGTAGAGTATTTCAAAGGCTATCCAATGGTTTGTTTTCGAAAAATGGTTAATTTTTCATCATGGTAGAAAAATGACTATATTACGAACATCAATTCTACAAAAAGTTGCATTTCACCACAGTAATGATTTGATCTAAAATACCATTTGTGCCAAGTTTCAAGATTTAAACATACTTGTATTCGATCATAGTCGACGTGTGCTATCTTTTGAACATAGATTGGTTACTTATTCAGGATGAGTGAAAACGATCATGTCTTTTCAAATAACAGTAATAATAATACTTTGCGAAAATCCATCATTCTGGCTACTATTTTGAATCTAAAATGTTTCTGAATATGAAATATTGTTCAGTTTTTTCTGGTCTTTCGAATGAAATGTTGATCAAAAACTTTGAATGGTTGATTATTGTCGATTTTATTGATAAAAAAACTAAAAACTAGCGATTTTTCGACTTTTTCCGCAAGTTTTTGGAAAAATCTGATTTTTCAACTGAAAAAAACGTATTGAAGGAGGAAAAGGTTTTTCTATACTTAATCTTGACTGAAAAATCGACTGGAAATATTAATAGTCTGACAACGAAAAAACATTATTTTTAGAGCATTTTCTGTCTTTTGGTCATTTTCAGCTCTGGCTGTTGTGGAACCATTTTGATCTCGAGTTGCATCGATTTTGTCATTTTTAAATAGTCGTCGATCTCATTAAGAATCTTTAGATCAGAGGCATTATTCATTATGACTTTTGTTTAACTTGCTCAGTTATTTTCTGAGTAGCTTTTATTTTAGCTGCTCGAACTGTTCTCACTGATTGTACTGATGTGGTTATAGAGGATGAATTCATATTAGATAATGACTATGATGATTGAGAACCATAGGTATCTTTAGGTAATCCATGGTCACAGAGTCGTCTACATGCTTGTCGTTTAGTTTTATCCATATACTGTGAACCACAGTCCTTACATTTAACGTTATAAATGATATCAGACGTTAAGTAATTTGGTATTTTATCCTTAAAATTAAATAAATTTTGAACGGATATTGGAGACTTTTCAATAATTGTTAATTGTGAATCCGGTTCAATTTGATAAGTAAATGTTCGTAGGTCACTTTTAAACATTCTTGTACTATTCTCAACATAGACACTTCAATAAACAATCTTTTCTTTTTCTTATCGGTACCAGTATCAATACACGTATCAGACTTACTATACCATTTACTAAAAATTTTTTTTTATCCCAATGAGCATTTCAACAAAGGAACTGGAGAAACTATTACTTCTAGCTAGTTTACGAATAATATTCAATTTCTCATGTAATAGTGAGTAAGTTGAACAAATATTAATGGCTCTATGAATCATAGCAGTAATGACTGAGCGTTTATAGGAAATGGTGACATATGAGTCCCATTTCATGATCAAACCTGTAAATGTGTTTTTCCTGAAGATAGTTGTATCTGTGAGGATATAGATCCTCTAGTGGCTAACTCTAATCGTAGAAGTGAAGCTATAGTGAGAATCAACTCTCACCCCGATATCTTTATTTGAAGCAAATGAACAGTTATATATAGTACAAAGTTAAACAAGAGTTTTACAAGAGTTGCTCATGAATTACATAACAACAGAAATAGTTAGGAAGATCACAGACTGACGCAAGTGTTGCGCAAGAACAGAAAGAGTTGGGAAAATACACTGCGGAAGGAAACGAAAACGAAAGAATGAAACAAGAGTTGCGCAAGAATGGTACAAGAGCAGAAAGAGACAGAATGAACCTTATGAGTTGCAACAGATCTGCCTTCCCCGGGAACTCATAACACCTCCCAGGCCCAACAAAGATACGCGCCTCGCGCATCAAGAAATTCGGTAGTACAATGAGAGTAAAAAATAAAACCGGATATGTACAAACTGGGCCGCCTTTTGTCACCGAATCTAATTGATCGTCGAGGCGAAGTGCCCGTTCGAGCTTCGGTTTGCCACCCCTCGAAGTCGTTTTGACTTGCCCTAGAGTCGACGGTGTAGTTGGTCGAGGCAAAGTCATTGTTTGAAGCCTTTGGTTGCCACCACCGAAGGTGATTGTTGAGTTGCTCGAAGAGAGGAAGTTCCTGCTCGAGATTTTTTACGACGTTACTCGGGCAACGACGGGCTGCATCTGACTCACGTGCGCCCGGTCTCTTTTTGCGGAATCTTCTAAGAGGTAATGCTGCTCCTCTTGTACTTCGATCACCTTGCAGGGACCCACTCGTCTCTCGTCGAGCTTTGAGCGACCGACACAGGCCTTCACATAAACGAGGTCGCCTACCTTGTATGACGGATCCGTGCGGTTGAGATCTTAGCGCGTCTTCGCCA